TGAAAAGCTGCCCTGCTTTGAGAAAGAACAAGTTCCAAATATTGCTGAATGGAATTCAGTCTCAGAGCAGTAATTACTGATTGTAATTTTGGAGTAAATGCAGTAATTAATTATTGTCGTTTTCCATCAGTGCATTATATTGTGTGCCAATCTTAGAATAAAATAATTAGCAAATGGGATTTTGCATGCTCTGGTATCGAAACTGTGGTGTGTAGAACAGTCATGAGAATTTTGCCATAATAAAGTTATCAGTAATTTAAATGGACAGACCAGTTAAAAAGGATCAGGCAGAAAAATAAAGGATTTCCTTGTCAGTCTTGCAAACACCTTCAGGAGCCTTGTTTTAGCCTCCCCCACTAAAATTCGCTTCCATTCTCTCAGTACAAGCACAACAGCACAAAGTTTGGGTTGCAAACACAATTGAGGGATGCTTAATTTAATCACAGGTGTCAGTGGAAATGAAAAACAAAAGTAATCCAAAGAACAGAAAAAAATATTGGCTGAGGTGATGTTTTTCCAGTACCTGAACAGACTTTCCAAAATTAAGCTGTGCTGATTTTTTTCTCTCTTTATTCACTCATATTAAAGCTTGTGCTGGACTAGTGTTTTGATGCAATTATACTAGTGCAAATTTTCATAATGTAAGCAAGTCCTAAACGATCTAAGTGATGACTAAAAGAGGGAAACAACAATAATCTGTGCAGGTGGAAGAAGAGCTGGTTAGCATGATTGTAGGAGGCATAACTACAAGAAATGGGATTTTATCTTGAAAAAGGATATTTGGAATGAATCTCAAGATGAATAGCCTAATAGAGAACAGTGAGATCAATGCAGCAGCAGAATAGCCTCTCACTAGAAGTAATAGAAAGCTATCTGGGAGGCATAAGCAACAAAAAATTCAGTAGAAAATACACTTTCACTAGACTTTGCATTGAAGCCATCTGAAATGACAGGAGAAGATAGAAATTTTTAGTTACATATTTTTGTTTATGGCTATTTGAAATTTTGCTTTTTTAATTTTATTTTTGATTTTTAAGATATTTTTGACAGTATAATCTTACTTTAAAATGAAGTTTGGGTTGTTTTTATTTTTTTTTCTCTAATTAGGGAACAAAAAGAGAAAAATGGAGTTTTCCAGTTTGGTAAAATATACACTCTAATTAAAAAAAAAAAGAAAAAAAGGAATAAAGACATTTCCTCAGAGTAAAAATACCACCTATTCCAGACAGCTACAAAAACATGTATTTCACACATTTTACAATAAACCAGACATCAGTCCTTCTTCAAGAAGCAGTGAAGGAGGACCTGAAAATCTTTGTTTTTTGGCCTTTGTTATTTCCCTTGGTGTTTTGTAGAAGCAGGTTGCCTGAGCAGTGCATTCATTTAATGTTTTGTCTACTCTGGAGCACAGCTTAAAAAAGTATTCCTGTTGATCTTTTTTCTATTTTTTTTCGCTTTTCTCTTTCCCTTTTGCCTCACTCAGTTTGTCTCACTCAGTTTGTCTCACTCAGTTTTATGCCAGTGCTCTGGGTTGGTCTCACCCAAATGTCTCTGCATTTTTAGCTTTAAATACAACTTCAGCAGCAGAGTGTCTGTCTGAGGTGGGAAGCATCACTTTGCCAGTAACCAGCCACTGCAGTGAAGCCACAGAATGGGAATGGACAGGACTTTCAGGGCTGTTGTTTGCTGTGTCTTCTCTTGCTCTATCAGCTGGATGCTCCTGGGCTGCTCTGTGTTCTGCTCTGGAAGGGCTGGGAGCTGTGCAGTTTTCTAGGCAGTGCTGTCCTACCATGCCTGCCTGTCCCAGCCCATCACATCATCACATCATTCCTTTTTTAAATTTTATTTTATTTTTTCCCCCCCCTACAACCAGGTCTTTAATTATAAAGAAAGAAAAAAGAGAACAGGGGCAGCCGTTTTGCCATCTAAATTCTTCAGGACTTTGCTTGCTGCAGCTTTGGGCTTATCTGCAACATCACAGAGACCCTTTCAGTGTTTGACAGCAAGTTCAGAGCACTTGCAAAGAAAACAAAGGATTTCAAATCATTGTGGCCTAGACTGCTTGTGCCCCCAAAAAAGGAGATTTAAAAGTTTTTTTTTAAAGTGCATCCAGAATTAAAATTTAGTGAAGCTCTTTCTTTTCAGTTAGGAAAAAACACTCTGGTGGATTATATCAAACTGGGTGCTGCTTTTGTTGTTGTTGTTGTTGTCATTGCCAACTTCTTATTTTTTGAAAGCAATTCAATAGAAAAAAGCCCTTCCTTGGAAAAATCCCAATTAAAAAGTTTCTTGAGCATCCTCTTGAAGCACATGAGTAATTACTCTGGTGTCAATATGGTTATACACATGCTTCAAATTGGAATTAAAGACCCTGAAGAGCTGCTTCCAAAGTTAAGATAAACAAAAACACAGTGGAGTTATTATCTTTCTGTCAGTTAAAGGAAGTTGCAAATCAAGCCAGCAGTGGAGGTGTAATAGTACTGTGCTGAGCCAAGAACAGCTGACCTGTCTCTGAGCCAGGCTTATTCCTGAGGGCTGAGCCCTCTGCTGATCACTGGTGTCCAGCCCTGCTGGGAAGCTGGGCTGTGGCTTTCCTGACTGAGAATCCTGCCTGCTGCTGGAGTGCTGGTATCAATGTTCCCGAGCTGGAACTGGGAGCAGATGAGCTGAAGAAAGACCTGGCTTTAAGCCCATCTGACCTTCTGGGTATCCTTGCTGTCACCAAGAGTCCTCTCCAGTCTATTGCAGCATGGCTCTCCCTGTGCTAGCCAAAATCCTCCCCCAGGGAATGCTCCTGCAGTGTCCTCCTGTGACCACACACCCTAGGGCAATTCCTTCTGTCAGGTGGAAAAACACAAGTAAAAACTTTTTTTTTCCCCCTGGAGAACTCCTTTCTGCTAAATTTGGGCTTCTGCAACAGGGTCAACAAGGTGTGAGTGTGCAAGAGAACAAGGACCTCTGAGACACACTTTGATAGGGTCTCTAAACAAGGTTCTCTAAGCCAAGGGTGGAAGTGATCTGGTGGTAAAATGATTTTTCTGGACAGCAGAGTACTAAAACCAAAGTAAAACACAGGAAGGCTAAAGGACTTCCTATCTAGAGGCAACACTTCAAGACTGTTCTGCTTAGTAGAAGCAAAAGAAAAACAAATGCTCTAAGAGAGACCTATGGAATTATATTACCACTTAACGTGCTGATTCCTTTTTATATAATTTACTGGGGGGGAAAAAACCCAAGCAACAAATCTTAGTCCTACTACTGAGTAATCTTTTTGTAGGAAACAAGCTGCGACCTCAGAGCACTTAATGGTGAACCATGATGATAAAAACCACCAGAGGCTTATACTGATGTATCTTGAACAACACAGATATCCACTGCCCTGCATCTTCTTACACCACCGTGAGAAACAAGCATATCCTCAGTGAGCACAGCTATGCTGAGACATAAACCCTGGTGCCTAACTTGGTGTCCCTTGGTCCCTTTGCAGGTGTCACAGAAAGCCTCCCTGACAAAGGCAGCCCCTGCTTTAACACAATGGCAAGCATGCACCCCCCACTCTCCCCCAGCAAAGCCTGCAGAAAAAAAGCCAGTGTGATGAAGCAAAAAGCATTTGGATATGGCAACATGTTTTGGTTTCAAGCTTCCAAGAGTCCTTTTCATAAGCAAGGAAAAGAAAAGAGGTTTTTGAAGGGGGAAAATGACATCGATAGTTGTCTTCATATAGTCACATATAAAGGAGATTCTAAAATATGGAGGCTGTTTCCTGCTCATGCACCTAATATGTTTATTGAAAGGTTTCTTCATCTCCTTTCTGCTGTCTTCAGTGCAGCACCTCTTTCAAAGACATTTTGATCCCATTCCTGAATTCTCACTGGAAAGGATACTGCTCTGAAGACTGGAAAAATGTATTTTTCAAAGATACTTGGGATTGAAAAATTAAAACACTCTGTTTTTCTTTGGGAAAGTCAAGGATAGGGATTTCCTGCCTGTCTTAGATGAATAAAAAGGGGCCTGAATAAAAATCACAGAATGTTAGACATTACAGCTAAAATGACACAGAAAGGTCACCTAACCAATCTCTTTATCACTAATTCAGGAGTACAAATTGCTTAGGGCCTCCCTAGGTGATGAGTTTATTGGGGAATCTCTGGTGTGGAACAGTTTTAACCATAGGGAGACTTCCTGTCTCTGTAAACAAACACATAGGGTTTAAATTTCTGTTTCTCAAAGAATTACCTAATGGATGAGCCTGCTAGTGGTGGAAAATATTTCCATTTTTGGAAACATCTTCATTTTTGTTATTGGTGATACATTGGTATTCCAATGAAGCAAGGTGTGGCATCTGGTATTTTTGGTGTTGTTACATGTATTAGAAGTTCCCTTGGAATATCCAGCTGGCTTCTTTCCAGCAGTACATGGCACATGAATCTAAAAATGAGACACCAGGTCCTTACTCCAGCTAAGCTTCCTTGGTTTTGGTTGGGATTTATCTACACACAGGAGTTTAAAACAACTGACCAAGAAGTGAACGTGGATCCTGCTATTAATTTATTTGGTTTGTGAAGAAATAAATCAGGGGTTATTTGGTTGTCAGGGAGACGTATTTACATTAAGTTATTATGCTGAGATGGAATTGGATACAGACTGTACTGCATGAAGAATGAAGAATGCTTTGAAACGTTTGCAACACAGAGCTATTGAGACAGACACTGTCCCAGTCCAGTCACCTGGGATTAAACTGCAGCCCAGTCCCACCTCTTAACTGCAGATTTTCTTGGAGCGCCAGAAATGCCCTCTTTCACTGACCAAGGGGAATCAGGACATTTGCTGACTGTCCTCTAGTGACCAGAAACACTTTCTAGAGATGCAGGATGCCCCTGGGATGAGGAAGTTGTCTTATCCCTTGGTAAGCATCCTTCCACCTCTTTTTCTAAAGAGACACACACACAAACAGTTCCTGGTTTATGCGTGGGTGCGTGTCTGAGCAGAGTGGCTCTAGCCAGAGTCAAAAAGGCAGAAGATAGAAAGTCACAGAGCTGAATCTCCTTGAGGGTCTACAACACAGAGAGACGCTACAGGTGTAGCTGACACCCCCTTCCCCATGCAGTTACCTGTGCTAGTGCTTTGTATCCAGTGGTTCCCACAACCCTTCAGTAGGGACGATTAGCATCCTTTGGCCTCTTCAGCTGCACCTTCAGCCTCTTCATGCCAATCTGGAATCCATTCATGGCCTGGATAGCAGCTTGGGCACTGGCAGGATTGTCAAAACTCACAAAACCTGTCAAAACATGAGGCAAGGCAGGAGACTTAATGAGCTGAAGGGTGCCAAGGCACGTACATGCAACGACCACTGAGAATGAACATGGGGAAGGGGGTGAGGGTGCTGAGAGGAGGGAAGTGAGCAGGTAGGAGGGTGGGCAGGTGGGCAGGAGAGTGAGGAGAGGATGGTTGCCAATGTGGGACAAAGGATAGGAGGGGTTGTTACAGATCAGTGTCCCAGGACACAGTGCCTGGTCTGAGTGCTAGTCTGAACACTAGACTATGTAGAGCACAGGGATCCAAATGTTGGTGCCACAAGATTTGGATCACCTTTGAGCTGGGAGTCAGCAGCTGTAATGCACGGTCTCAAGGCACTCTGTCTTCCTCTATCTCCCTATATTGTGACAGGGGTAAACCTCTAGACCTTCCTTAACTTGCCAGCATAACCTTTTCTTTGCTTTCCAATACTAATGGTGAGGGGAACCTAACACAACTACTGCTACTTCCTTATTATGACAATGTAAATAAAATGTGAATTTAATAAATTCCTCATTATCATATTAATCAGCATGAATAGTTTGATTGTTGGCCAGCGAAGCAATATAAAGAACTTTAATCACTGGCAATTTCTGCAAACTCTATGTTGCTCTGCAGTTAAGTGATGAGCACAAGTGCTTTCTTAACATGGTTTCCCTATGGAATTTCATACTTTGCTAGCACATCTCCCAATCAACCATGGAGCACATTCAGCACTAGAAACAACTACAGTGATTGAATATTGTATCTACGGGTCACCTAAGACATTCTCTGTCTCGATTTGCTCTCAGTCTGATGAAATAATACAGGTCAAACACACAGGATGCAATGTATCTAATGCATTCGGCTTTGTGGAGAGCTTTTGGTGTGGCTTTTTTTAAAAAATATTTTAAATTTTTTTTGCTATGTTAGAGCCAGAAAAAGGCCTCATTTTCCCAGACTGTGTATGGCTGGAGCTGGAGCAACCATGGGTCTGAGATATTAGTGAGGCAGGGGGCCATCACAATGTACAAGCATTGCCTCTGCTACTTTTGCCAGAAATGTCCCTGTGTGCCAGCAACATTTCTGAGTACAAACCTTGGGTGAGACTAGCCTGGACCAGCCTGCTCTCCAGACAAAGCCATCTGTTTACCCACCCCTGCAAGGCTCTGGCAGCACAAATCAATCCTAGAAGCCTGGTGTTGCTCAACAGACAGGCTGAAATGAAGAGATGGTTTTTGCAAGCCCCTCAAAAAGCTAATGCTGAGTGTTTGCTGCCAGGTATACACCTGCTCCTGACAGCACCACCAGGCCTGGCTTACAGCCTTGGGCTGTGCTGTGGATTCACTCAGCAGCCCCTCCTGCCTGGTCTGGTTCCTCCTCAGAAGCCAGTCTCACAGGTGACACAGGGTCATTTGCATCTGAAAAAGACACAGAGCTGTGCATGCAAAGGCACCTTCTCACTCCTGCATTAAACTGGGCTCCCTGACCTTGGCTAATAATGTAACTTCATGACAGGTCATGAAACCTATGGTCTTAGTCTCTCAAAGTGAGACAACAGGTTTACTGAGTATGGCACATGGGGCTTTAAAAAGAAGGCCCATGGAATAAACAGAAAACCCTCTTTGTCCTCCCCTCTGGAAGCCAAGGCTCCAAGTAAACTGGCTGTCCACACAGTTTTCCTGCCAACCCCCTGGATGAAGAGATACCAGCACTACAGCTCTGAAGATGAACAGACAGAAAGCACTCTCAAGCCCCACAGCAATCACCAATTTCTAGAGAAAAACTGGCGAGCTGCAGTGAGTAATGAGCTGTGGTTTTATTCAATAGCAATGGATCTGCTCTTGCCATCACTTTTTGGGCAGTAAGTGCCTGGTGATGTTACCAGTTTAGAGTTGGCTACTTGAATAATCTATCCACAAAGTTCTATGATTCACTCTCAGCAAAGGAGTAAACTAAACACTTCCTGGTTTCACCCAAATATGTTCAGATTTAAAATACTTCTGGAAATTCCCTTAGGGATACCTTACTTGAGCTTCAACCTTAAATATACCTTATATCCTTGAATATAGGATGTAGTGAAACCCATTTATTTTTAAAAATCACATCTGGTTTGCTGATATTCCTGGCCAGCACACTTCAGTTACATCTAAAACAGTAGAGTAAAGCTGTACCAGGGAAGTTCAGAGAAACTGGAACCTAATAATCTGAAGTGTTGAGTTATTTTGACTTGTGTTTAACATCAAACAATTCCTGGACAAAGTCTGAGTTTTAGCACAGAAGACAGGCTGTGTTCAGTGGTTAACTTGGATGTGTCCATGATGTTCTGGAAAGTGAGAGAATTTAATAATTTGGGTGTAGGCCATTTTGTGCCAGCTGTCTCCAGTGCAAGGGGAAGTGCCAGGTATGTTTACTTTATTGATATACACACAGCAATCCAATATCAAAGCTGAGCTGGCTGCAGCTGGATGGTTGCTTAGCTCATGTCTTTAGAGAACACACCTTGCCTGGGAACTTTGATTCCTACTCTTGCAACAAGTCCTTTTGGGATGTCCCTCCTACTGACTACATGTGCACATCTCGATTGTGCCTGAATGTTCATCCGTTTGTGAGCACAACACCTTAGGACCCTACAGTAACCAGTGGAGCTCCAGCCAATGCAGCCGGTGGAGTGTAGGGCAGGATTTCTCTCTTTGATCAGGACACCCTTAGCTGTGCTCAGATGAATCACTGGTCAGATAGCAGTGCTGGCTGCAGTGAAGGCAGGCACCCAGATTAAATCAAGGAACCTCCACTGAGGGATCTAGCTGGTTCCATAGTTAGGAGTCACATCTCAAGGTAAAATGTTAGCTGTCTAGTGCCTGGGGAGGTCATTCCTCAAAGTTATATTAATTGCTGAATCAAACCCCTCCAGAAAAGCTTCCACTATGACAGAAGATTATTATTTCTCTACTTTTGCCAAGACCAGCCCTTCGAGGCATGATAAGCTCTTATGCTGGGTTGCTAATATAGTTGTACCTCTGCAAGAACCTTCTGTGAGATAAGCTCACAAAGCTACACCAGTTTTTATCACCACTTTGCTTTTGAGATGCAATTCTAAGCCCGTTTCCTCATTCTGTGTAAAGCTGTAAATAATACAGCATTTTAACAAATGGGACTAATAAGAGAGATCAGAAGTGCATTTGCTCACTATATTTCATTTAGACCAGATAATGAAGCTGGGAGTTGTACTCTGATTCTGGTATTAGTTGCCTGCAGATTTGGACCAGGTTCTTTTTGCCTTAGTTGTTCTGGTATTCACTGATGTAATATAAAAATCTCCTGTCTCTGATTGCTGAAGGTAGAGAAACTGGGATTTGAAAGCTGGGGAAAGAGACTGGCAGGTGCCAATAACTGATCTTATTCTTTGTGATCATATTCTGGGGACAGAACAGCTAATTATTCCAGCTGCATTTCACTGCTTTAGTTTCCAGGGGCCTTGATATGCTCAGAAGTTTCTGGTGCATTCAAGTCTCTCCCTTTCCTGTTATTTATGTGTAGTTGTGTTTCATTTTGTTGAGGGTATTTGGATGAACTGCAAAGGGAAGAAAAGCTATGGCTTATTCTGAGATTTGAGACCTTACAGTGGATAAAGGATAGGCAGATAGACAGGCATGTTGGGCTAACAACAGCATATTCCTTTCTCTTCTCAGGTCAAATACCTACTGGCAGATTTGACTTTTTGTTGTTGTTGTTACAAGCAGTATTGGCAGTTAACCATCTTTGTTTCTCCTCATCTGTGTCAGCAGGATTCATGGTACTATGACAGATTCAAACATGTATTACTAGGAACAGAATATGTGTACTGGAAAAATAACTTAAATACTCTGTTCCTAAATGGCTTTAGTGTTTGAGCTCATGGGCTCAAGACATGATGGCAGCATTAAAATTGCTGTCTGTGTTTTGAACACCACCCCTGCATTGTCATCTACATGCTTGAAGGACAAAAGAGAAAGGGAGAGGTTAAAAAGCTTGAAGCTCTTTCTGTGCATCAGTTAATTAATAATCAGAGAAATATATGTTCTGGTCTGAAGACAGTTGGTAGGAGGACAGCATTTTGTGATAAATCTACTTTATGGGGGGGATACTGGTGGGTTTTTTCTTTTTTCCTCCCCACCCCCCCCCCGGATTATGTAAAAACGCTGTTCTAATAAATGATTTATCAAAAGCAGCAGAGAATGGTGAAAGCTGCTAGGACAGCAACAGAGAGCATCTAATCTTTCTGATTTTGCACAGCATCTTCCAGGAAAGGTACTGTTGTTGGATCCCACTGCTTCTTCTGGCCTGCTCTTTTCCTACAGGACTGTATTAACTATTTGTAGGCAGAAACTGGGGTACAATTTTGGAATTGCTTAATTTTCTCCCCCTTTCTTTCAGAGAAAGTTCTTGTGGTGTGATGAGGGCAGGGGGAGCTTTGTGCCTTTCTCATTACATGATCAGCACGATCACCAATGGCTTTATGTAACAGATATTACCTAAGGGCTGTTTTTCTGTTTTAATCAGCCAGGATGATAAATAAGGGAATTCACAATTTATGTCAGAGTACATCTAAAGACTGTTTTGTAACTGTAAACTTTTTGTTTATGGTTCATGTTTTCTCTGCATGTCCATGAATTAGTTTTTGCAGTAACAGCAGTCCTGAATGAACACTAAGTTGTGTTTCCATGGATCTTTAATTGGTCCTTCTGAGTTTTCTGTTTTGTTTTGAATCCAGCAAGGAGAATTAGTGGTTAGCATGTAAAACAGCCTCTTGATGATCTGCTACCAGGTTGGAATAACCTGTTGCCTCTCTTAGGCAGGAGCTTTCCTCTGAATGGAGCCCAGTGCACGATAGCTATGCTAAACTTCATTAAATCAGGAGTCAAGACCACTAATGATGCAAGTTTTTCACCCAGACTCCTGAAGTGGAGGCAGATGATCCTGCAGCAGGTCCACTCATGTAACTAGTTTGCCTTCAGGCAATGG